ACTCTCCTCTCCAGCACCCTGGCATAGGCCTTTCCGGGGAGGCTGAGAAGTGTGATTCCCCGATAGTTGGAACACACCCTCCGGTCCCCCTTCTTATGGAGGGGAACTACCACCCCAGTCTGCCAATCCAGGGGGACTGTTCCCGACCTCCACGCGATGCTGAATAGACGTGTCAACCATGACAGCCCAACAACATCCAGAGCTTTAAGATACTCAGGACGGATCTCGTCCACCCCCGAAGCCTTGCCACCGTGGAGTTTTTTGACCACCTCGGTGACTTCAGCCTGGGTGATGAACGAACCTAGCCCCAAGCACCCCGTCTCTTCTTCCCCCATGGAAGGTGTGTCTGTCGGGTTGAGGAGATCCTCAAAGTATTCCTTCCACCGCCCGACAATATCCTCCTTCAAGGTCAGCAGCTCCCCACTCCCACTGAAAACAGTGTTAGCGAAGCACTGCTTTCCCCTCTGGTGGCGCCGGACGGTTTGCCAGAATCGCTTTGAGGCCAACCGATAGTCTTTTTCCATGGCCTCTCCGAACTCCTCCCAGGCCCGAGATTTTGCCTCTGCATCCGCCCGGGTCGCGACACGCTTGGCCTCACGGTACCTGCTTGCTGCTTCAGGAGTCCCACAAGCCAGCCAAGCTTGATAGGACTCCTTCTTCAGCTTGACAGCATCCCTTACTATCGGTGTCCACCACCGGGTTCGGGGATTGCCACCACGACAGGCACCGCAAACCTTACGGCCACAGCTACGGGCAGCCGCATCGACAATAGAGGCAGAGAACACAGCCCATTCGGACTCCATGTCTCCAACCTCCCTCGGAACCTGAGAGAAGCGCTCCCGGAGGTGGGAGTTGAACACGTCCCTGACCGAGGGTTCCACCAGACGTTCCCAGCAGACCCTCACTACACGTTTGGGCCTGCCGAGTCTTTCAGGCTTCCTCCTCTTCCAGCGTATCCAGCTCACCACCAGGTGGTGGTCGGTGGACAGCTCCTCCCCTCTCTTCACCCGAGTGTCCAAGACATGCGGCCGAAGATCAGAAGATACGACTACAAAGTCGATCATCGACCTTCGGCCTAGGGTGTCCTGGTGCCAGGTGCACCGATGGACATCCTTATGCCTGAACATGGTGTTCATTATGGACAATCCATGACTTGCACAGAAGTCCAATAATGAGACACCACTCAGGTTCAGAGCTGGGGGCCCGTTCCTCCCGATCACGCCCCTCCAGGTGTCACTGTCGTTTCCCATGTGGGAGTTGAAGTCTCCCAGCAGAATGATGGAATCCCCGGGAGGGGCGCTTTCTAACACCCTCCCCAAGGATGCTAAGAAGGCCTGGTACTCTGTACTGCCGTTCGGCCCATAGGCCGAAACAACTGTCAGAGTCCTCCCTTCGACCTGAAGGCGAAGGGATGCGACCCTCTCATCTACCGGGGTGAACTCCAACACGAGACGGCTGAGCTGAGGGGAGACAAGCAGCCCCACCCCCGCCCTCCGTCTCTCCCCGCGGGTCACTCCAGAGTAGAAGAGAGTCCAGCCTCTCTCAAGGAGCTGGGTTCCAGAGCCCTGACTGTGCGTAGAGGTGAGCCCAACTATTTCTAGCTGGTATCGCTCCACCTCCCGCACAAGCTCGGGCTCCTTCCCCGCCAGTGAGGTGACGTTCCACGTCCCCAGAGCCAGTCTAAGCGCCCGCGGATCAGGTCGCCGAGGTCTCCGCCTCTGACTGCCTCTATGCACCGGTCCCTCATGGTTCCCCCTGCAGGTGGTGGGCCCACTGGGGGATGGCCTCGCGTCGCTCCTTCGGGCTGGGCCCGGCCGGGTCCCGCGAGGAAGAGCCCGACCACCAGGCGCTCGCCGACGAACCCCAACCCCAGGCCTGGCTCCAGGGTGGGGTCCCGGCTCCGCCGTACCGGGCGACGTCACGTGGCTCGCTGTAGTCCTCGTCATAAGGGTTTTTGAACCGCTCTTCGTCTGACCTGTCACCCAGAGCCTGTTTGCCTTGGGAGACCCTACCAGGGGCATTTAGCCCCCGACAACATAGCCTCTGGGATCACTCAGGCGCTGAAACCCCTCCACCACGTTAAGGTGGCGGTTCAAGGAGGGGCTCTGGGTCATATGACGGAGACGGACCAACCCCCTGAGGTCACAGAGAGGCATCGCTACGCAGCAGCAGAGGAAAAATAATCTAAATCAGATTAAGCTGGGGTGTAAGTCCCAGTTCTATACCAGATTTAGTTGGGGGGGCAATGATTTTACTTATGGCGGTGTTCTGTCAGATCAGCATACCCCATCAGACCAGCATACCCATAGTCAATATGCATGCATGCAAGACGTCAGATTTGCATTTATCTCTTTAGTTTTGTATGAAAAATTGACTTCAAACTACCTCAATGAGCATATATCCCTTTAGTCCTGTCCAAAAAATACACAATTTAAGGTCAGATCGCCATCCATTTTAAAAAACACCAAAAAGTAAGTAGTTAAATAGCTTTTTGTGCATGACTAAAGGGATACACGCCCGTTGAGGTAGTTTTAAAACTTTTTTTGGTGTACAAAACTAAAGGGTTAAACTAAAGGGATAAATGGGTATTGGGTCTGCTGGTCTGAACGCTGTATGCTCATCTGACAACAGCAGCACAAATAAAAAGAAACAAAAAAGGGGTAATAGTTCATTTTTCTGAAATATGTGAAGAAAAGAGCATTTTTCTGCTCTGCATTCCTTATATCAGATAAAAACCATCATCATATCATAACATTGCAAAGCTAAAGGTGCAACAGTTGAAGTTTTGCAACAGTTTAATTATAATTTATTTATCTTATTGTTATTTATTTTATTCAAATTGGGCAAGGACCAGTTATAGAGGGGCGCTGGCCCCTGTCTAGAGCTGCCCATAGGTCAAAGGTTACACTGTTTCTTGAACAGGGGTGTGATTTTTATACCAGAACATTTCATATTCGATCTCTAAAAGGATCTAAAACCTTTTTAAGGATGAATCTGATGTCATCGCTTCATTGATGCTCTGGTTTGTAACTTTTCTCAAGTTTATTTAGCAGTTTTATTCACATTAGAAGCGTTAAAAGAACAGATGTCTTTGTTTACCAGCTGATGGGCCTTTTTGGCTCCTGAGGGCCAGATAAGTTGATAAGTGTTCCAACTTTAGCTTCTTGATTGTTGCCTTGTGGTTTTGTTTCAGTATTTCTAAATAATGATCTTTCCTCCTGATGTCATCAGTCCCTCCTGCTGTTAAAGACCCCAGAGCATAATGCTAACACCTCTGTGTCAGTTGGGATGTTATTTACAGGCTTGAAATTTGGTCATTCTGGTCAAACTCTTCCATTTAATCCCAACCGACCCTGAAAGTCTTTAATCCCGGTTGTGTTTGTTGTTTGGATGCTAATCTGGCTTTTGGAAATCCATAATTCTCCTTGGATATATTGGCTGATTTCATCATTTTTCCAGGGTGTACTCAAATACATAAAGAAGTAATGAGTTTAAGAAGTTTCCTTTTAAAGAATCCGTGGGTTTGTTAAATGAATGTCTTGAATAGTGTGAATCTGGCCTCAGCAGATGGCCGCTCACACTGAGCCTGGTTCTGCTGGAGGTTTCTTCCTGTTCAAAGGGAGGTTTTCCTCTCCACTGTCGCTACAAGCATGCTTAGTGTGAGGGATTGCTGAAAAGTCATTGAGTCGATGCAATCAGCTGATTTTCCCAAGATAGAAAACCACTTGTTGGATCATCTGACTGGATGATCTGGTGAATTGGAAAGTGACCTGAGATGAATTGACGCTATAGAAATAAACTGAATAGAATTGAATTATTCTATTGAAGGCTGACAAAGCCATGATGTCAACATCTGGACTTATAAAAAGCTCATTATAAAGGCAAAAGTCGTTTAAATGTAATGAATGTAATTAGGGATGCACAATATAATCGGCCCCCTATCGGTATCGGCCTGTATCGGCCTTAAAACTGAATATCGGACATCGGCCACCCCACCTATATTTAACCCAATATTTGATCAGCTTTTGAGTTTCTAAAGTCTAAAAAAAGAAAAAAATACTACTTCTTCTTAAAAACTTCTAAAGACGAGGGAAAAAATATTGATGCATTAAAATATCCCAATATCTTCATATGCTGATAAATTGCCATTTAAAAACACCATATCAAACTCTTTTACTAATGAAATATTGCTATATGTCATCGTTATGCTACGAAATCCCCCGAAAATCCACGAAATTTTGCCATATTTTTATATGTTGATATATTGACGCGGTATCGATCTATTTTACTAACAAAATCTCACAAGAATTTGAAAAATATCACGAGAGTTTGTAGCAGAACGATGAAATTTCACGAGATTTTAAAAAGTAAAATAGATCGATACCGCGTTTTTAAAAATCAATTTGATATCAGCATATGAAAATATATTTGAGTATATTATTTTTCAAAGTGTCAGAAATGGATAACAAAACTGCTATTTTCAATGACTACTTATTTTTGTCCAGCTTTAACATCGGTATCGATATCGGTTATCGGCTACATGAGTTTTAAAATATCGGATATCGGCCAAAATCCCAATATCGTGCATCCCTAAATGTAATAATATTCTTCTATTGTTTTTTTTTTTTATTAAAACAGGAAGATTAAGAGTTTAGACCTGAAATGTTGTTTCCTTTCCTACAGTGAATGTGTGGCTTTAACTGGATGATGAGGTTATTGCCAGTAATCATGTCTCAGCATCTGTTTATGATGGAAAATGTCTACCTTTGTTAAAAAGTTTAGTCATTCCTGTTTGATGAAACCACAGAAGACCAAAGGTGTTTAGGATCTCTGAAGGCTCTTCTGTAGAAAGCTCATTCCTCTATCAGAGTTGATAAAAAGAGGAACTGATAATGTGCTCCTCTACTTTCAGGTCAGACGATATCAGTCTGCAGGGCGCTGATATGGTGAGCTCACCCTGCACCTTTACAAACCACCACTGTGGTTAAAACTGACCCGAGTTGACTCGGTGCTCTCTGTTTCTCAGGACATTCAGGATCTCCTGCGGCGCGTCTGTGAGGCTGACTCCGTCCATGAAGTGCGTCAGTTCGGCTCGGCTTTAGTTCAACATCTGCAGCTTGCTCAGCAAAGGAGAAATGATATCACAGCCCAGGAGATGACGGCTGTGATGGAGGAGAGGGACAAATCTGTTGACAAAGTGAGTCTTTCCTTTTCCACAGCATGTTTGTTTTTATCCAGACAAACATTAGGTGAAAGCAAAGAAGCACTTTTCCTACGAAAACAGTCCTGATGTGAAAAAAGTTTTCAGGTTTTTTAAAGAACCACCATAAAGACATACGGATATTTCTTTTTAGGTTTTTCTTCATGAGTATTTGTTAAATTCTCAGTTTAAAGCTCTGATGATGCGTCGAAGTGTTTGTGTTTCGTTTGAATGGAATCAAAGGCTACGTTCGCACTGCAGGCCTCGATGCTCAATTCAGATTTTTTAGGGAAACACATTTTTTTGTGTTGCCGTTCACATATCCAAATATATGCCACTTGCATGTGATCTCCTGTGTGAACTGCATTCATACAGCTTAAGTGTCCTGCATGCTCAGTAGAGGACATAATGACGTCACAAGCCAGCGTGCTCTCTGTTTAAACAAGTAAACATAGATGGTAATGTTGGAGCGCATATAGCGATCTTTCCCAACCTGAAAACTCAATCTTTTTAAGATGGTTAAATATTATTACTGCTCTCCGCATCATCGTCCGCCATGTTTGTTGTTTTTTTTCCTGCTTCTGCTTAGCAAGATGCACAATAGTGACCTATGTTGAGTATTAATGGCTTTCAGGTCAAATGAATGCGGCCTGGCTGTTCAGAAACAGGTCACATTTCAAAAAGATCAGATTCATATTAGATTCAGGACCACAAAGCCAAGTGGCCTGGGTTGCATTGGAAAAAAATCGCATCTGAGTTGTTCAGACTGTCATGAAAAGATCTGATCCAGGTCGCATATCGGCAAAAAAATCGGACTTGGGTCACTTCAGGCTGCTGTGTGAACGTAACAACAATGTTTAATTTTTTATCTATCCAAGTTATCTATCTAGTTTATCTAAATAACAGGGTCGATTATTAATTCATCATGATTAATTACATTTAATAAAGTATTTTCAATCCAAAAACATTTTTTGCTTCTAATTCATTGAATAAATGAACACAGCAGCATATATTGTTTTTAATTCATGAGTTCCACGTTTTTTCCACGGAGGTTCATTTCTTTTTTATCATTTAACTTTTTATTGGTATTTTTTTACTTTTTACATATACAGTGTACATGAACATCTCACATTCAGCTTAACATAACATAAATCTTTCACTTGGGAGCTATTCCTCTATTTGACCTTTGTTCCGCCTAGTTTATCTATTTCTTTATCTTTGTCCCTGTCTTTTGTCCTGAATGTCGTCCATTTGCTCCTCTTTTCTTCCATTTGAGTTTGTTGAATTCTTAGACGATGTGTCAGTTTTTCCATAACGTAGATTTCTTCTATTATTCCAGTCCATTGTTCTTGACAAGGAGGGTCAGCCTGTCCCCAGTTCCTGCTTTTTTGCTATCTTAATCAGATCCCATCTTTTACCCTTACTTTGATATTGTTCAAATTGCAAAGATATAGTACCACACTACTGATAGGAATATCACATCCCAGAATCTTCTTCAGTTTCATGTACATTTTTACATTTTTCCAAAATTGAACAACTTTAGGACAGTTCCAAAATATGTGAGAATGATTGGTGCGCATTGATCCACTATTACGCCAACACCCAGTGTTTGCGTCCTTATAACAGAGGTTCATTTCTACCACAGAACTATGACGGTAGATTGACGCTTAAAGCTTTGCCTTTAAGAGTTTAACATTTGCTATTTGGCAAACAAACAACATTTAGCGCATTTAAATGGTATATTCCACACTGGGTACTTTTTCAAAATGTAGCATATATTATGCTACATTTTGAAATATTAAAACAAAGAGGACCTCACGGCATAATTTAGTCTGTGCAGGAAAATTCCTCTGGGATTATGCAGACTGCTTGTAGCAAAAACTTCCTCATTCAACCCTCCTCTGGAGGAGCCGGCTGAGTTTCCACGCCCCGTCCTCCCAAATGCCACGCCCCCCAAACCCGCAACAATGACAACCAGTCAGAGTTTGTAAAGATACTCAGGAAGCATGAAATATTAATGAGATGAAGCCCTGAATACTGGGCTGCTACAAACCACTCTGGATCGCTTTTTTCCCCCTGATGACATCATCAGGGGAATGACTTTCAAACAGGGCATTTTGAGCACAAGTGAGGTGGAGAAAGCTTCAGGCTTCAAAGGCTTGAGGACGGATATGAATGTTAGACAATATTTGTAATGTGAATTTAGCTTAATATGGAAGACGGTTTCTAAGACGAGAAATCCATGTTCCCTCCTGTTTCACCTGGTTTTTTCCTTTGAAGATGTAGACTTACATTGTTAGCTCTAAGCCCTTCATGTGGTCAATGTGGGCATGCCGGTGAAATAGTGCTGCAGCTGGATGCTGAGATTAATGTTTGCTGCCCCAAAACGAGTCACTCCTAGATGCCTGCAGTGGACCGAAGCTTGAGTTGCTGCTGGTGCTTCAGATTCATGGATGGACAAGAAAAGGCGAGTACAAAGGTTCCCACTTAGAACTTTAGTATGTATGGAAACAATTGTGGTGAATTTCATTCATTATTATTGTATGTTTTATTATTCAGTTCCTGTGGGCGGCCTACAGCAGCAGGCTAGAGGAGAAGGAGCAGGCAGGTTGGAGACAGAAGTGATAGGTGAAAGAAAGCTCCAAGAAGGAAAGTTAATATTATCAGGGAGCTGGTGAGTCCTGATTGGATGTGTTTGGAGATGGTGGCATCAACAGGAAGGGCTGCAGTTGGCGGAGCATTTTTTGGTTTGTTTTAGGAGCCAGAGGGAATCGGATCAGACATAAAAATATCAGAGGGACAGCTGAGGATGTTTGAAGCCATGGTGAGAGAGCGAACAGCCAGATATTTGGGACTTGTTCACAGCAGGGGTCAAAGGTGGATCGGCTACAGAGGAGGCAGATAGAGAACACACAGCGATGCTTGGGATGGGGAGCAATGGAGGGAGATAGACTGCTGTGGCGCCCCCTGTAGGAAGCAGCCCAGACGAGACGCCAAAAAAATATAAATCTAAGTCAATGTTTCTTAAAATAAGCATGGCATGGCATGGCAAGAGGGAGAAAAAAAAAAGATATTTAAAAATTCTTTGCAAAATTTAAAAATTGGGAAATTATTTTTTTTTATTTCACTATTGGGCATATTTGGATTTTAATTTAACTATTTTTTAAGGCCTAATCAACACAAGTTCATGGAGGTTACGTTGTCATGGCAACGTCAAACAAGCTAGTGTGTGGAATCCCACACTTGGTAGCAGACTAGTAAAGTTACATAGTCCAGGGCTCGATGTTATCAATCGCTGATCGCCCGGGGCAAGTAGTTTTTATTGTCGGGAGAGTACAAATTTCAATTGAAAAAAAAAAATATTTATCACTCAAAATTACTTTAAAATCACCAACATTCGCTGAATGTTGGTGCCATTTTTGTTATATTGTACACATTCTCGCTTGATTCGAAAAAGCCGCGTGATTTTCCGCTAGATGGCGTGATTCAGCTCTTGGGAAGAGAATTCTGCAGCAGCAGGATGATGAATTTAATCTATACTATAATACACGCTAGATTAAAAATGATCAGTCAGGGATTAGGAAAATAATAATTGTATGCGCACAGTGTAAATATTCCTATCATATGGCAGTCTTCTGTACAGTGATGCAGGTCATACATTAAAAAATTTTCATTAAATTTTTTTCTCTTGGACATTGGAGTGGTGCATTTAAATGTTATAGAGCTAAACATTTTAAATTGGTGAGTAGTAGTAGGGTAAGTTTTTAACCTGTCAAGTTTTTTTTTTAGATTTTTAACATTACAATTTATATTTTTCCAAGCACACAACAGTTTAAAGCAAAGTTTAGTTTGAAAAGAATGTGCAGGAAGGATTGAAAAGCATGTTAACACGGTAATGTAGGCTTGAGTTCATTATCTGACGCATGCAGATACACACCAGGAACCTGGAAACTTACTGAATAAAAAAAAAACATTTAAAAAAACAAACATGTTTCATTAATATATATATACAAAAATGAATATTAGGAACTATATTTATCAAACATTATACTGGGCAAGTAAAAATTGTTTCTGGGCAAATGAAATGTGAAAGCCACTTGCCACGACCCTCAGAGCGCACCTGAACATTTGGACACCTGTAACCAGGCAGGATGCCCTGCCTGTACCTTCATATCTATTTGTGCAGTTTAATATTTAGAGTGTTATTTTGATCAATATTTGTTCAATAATGTTTAAATAGCACAATAGTATAATTATTTACTTGTGGTTTGCCTTTGACATAAACACAGTGACTCAGGTTCACGCCAGCTGACTAAATCTATTGTGAAGTTAAAGTATCCAACCATTCATTTTCCATCATGTTTATCCATTCTGAATTGGCGAGGGGTGCTGGTGTCTATCTCCTGCTGTCTATGGGCGAGAGGCGGGGTCCACCCTGGACAGGTTGCCAGTCCATCACAGGGCAACACAGAGACAAACAGGACAAACAACCATTCACAGACAAACTCACACCTAAGGAGGATGTAGATAAGCCAGTCAACCTGTCATCTTTTTGGACTGTGGGAGGAAGTCAGAGTACCCGGAGAGAAACCATGCATGAACAGGGGGAACATGCAGATTCCATCCAGAAAGACCCCGGGCCGGGAATCGACCTGCAGACTTCTTGCTTCAAGGCAGCAGTGTTACCCACTGAGTGCTAGCCGCCTGATTAAACTGAGCAGTTTAATTAGTAGTGCATATATTCACCTGAGAACTGATGATGTCTGTGTGTTACAGACCCTGAATGCGAGCCTTGTTCATTCTATTGGCCCATAGTCTTATTTTCCAACCGAAATTTGGAATGAATACACTTATTTCAGAATGTTTTTACAGTGTAGCTGTAATATCCACCATAGGCTGGAAAACGTAACCTATCAAATAAACCTTTACTGATGCATAGATTGAGTCAGTGACAAACGAATTAAGCAAATACAAATAAACAATTAACCTAAGAAGTT